AAAAAGAAAAAGTTTTCAATAAATATTTTTACTAAACTAATTTTAATAGTACATAAATAAAAGTATATTTTTAATTTTTTAATAAATAAAGTGCCTCTAATATACAAAATGCTTCAAGAGTTCCTAAACACCAGCATTCACTTTGCAGTAGGGCCAACACGCTTAGGGCCTATTATATCTGATTTTATTTTATAGTCCCCCACCTAATATTGCTCTCTGTGCAGAGTATTTGGCAGTTGTTGCCAGGTGAGTTTAGCCTTTCAGTTGCTTTTACGACATAATGCGTCTAATAAAATATGTTGACTGCGCTTTTACATGAATTTAATGAGCATCAGGAGCGTAAATTATATTTGCCAAATGAGCAACTCGAACTTAACAACATAATTAACAATGAGTGTGCATAATTTTATGAAATGCACTAACAACTAATTTATGCATACATCGGGTGAACTGCTCCCGGTGTGCGTACGTAGCCCTGCTCGGACTGTAGTCACCTGGCCAAGTCCGGGATTCTGTTTAATTGGGGCGTATTTTATGTAGCCGTCATTTGGGCGACTATTAATTATCTGTAAATGTGACAATGGCAGAATGGAATCACTTTTTGAGAGCTCTTCGCTTGGCTAAAGTTGTTTTGTTTTGGTTTCTTTGCGCTGTTGTCGTCGTTTCTGTTGTTGTTTTTGTTGTTTTTAATGATCCTAAGATTTGACGACATAACGGCATATTAAACGCAGAAGAACGCAGCAGAATGCTTGCTAACGATGTACACTAAAAATAAAGCAAAGCAAAGCAAAGCAAAGCAAAGCAGAGCAGAGCAAAATACGAACGAAAAAATTGCCCCAGCCAGGCCAGGGCAACATTATTAATAGGCACTTAAAACTGCGTGGGGGTAGGCTAGAGCAGAGCGCTGCAAGTGATGGGCGTGGCGCGCGACAAAGGACGGACGCGGCAGCAGATTACGAGCCGCGGAACGTTGATGAAGACACGTTTTTACATTGCGTATATTGACGTTAAAATTAGATGCCAACTTGTCGACGACGCTTCGTTGGCAGAGTCTCAGCCTCAGAAACAACGCGTATCATATTTTAGCTGATGCTCAAAATGATGATGATAATGGAACGATGGGATGATGCCTGGGCCTTCATATATGCCCTACATGTATGCCTGTATGCTAGTTGCTGCATGTGGTGATGAGCTGGCCCCACCCCGCGCACCCCTGCTCCCCTGCACCCACCACTGAAGGTGGCTGTCATAAATGCGATGATATATGGTTGCCTCACGCTCCGACGCACAAATCAACATGTTAAATAGACCTGGCTAGTGTTGCATGATATTTTTAAGCAGGTATTGTTATACCAAAGAGATAATGTAGAAAAATATCGCAAAATTTGTAACACACGAAGGGCAACATATTCGACGCGGCCTGGTTGGATTTTCCATGTGACTTGCTGTATTATGTGCCTCCTTCTTTCAATATGTTCATTACCTTGGCCATAGTTCATAATATCTTCGCTTAAAGTGCCCCAGATTAAATATGCTACAGAGTAAAGTTGATTTCAGAAGCCTTGCAAAAGCCACAAATAATTTCGAGATAAATATATATAAAATGTTTTTTTGCAAATAAAACAAGCTCTGAGCTGAATTACAGTTTTTAATATGCATTAGTTTTCTGATGCTGTTGGCTCTGCTGAAATTCTATTGTTTAGTAACACATTCAATAAACATTCAAGCCCCCCTTTTAATTGAGCCCAGATGCATGAGTAAATATAATTGGCAGTTGAGCTAAAACGTTTTACGTTGAGTTTATTGTGCCGGCACTCTATAGCTGGCTGGACTGTATGCATATAAATATACCATAATTGGCTGATATGAATATTACTTATTTCCCCACATGTTGGGCTCCACTGTCTCGACCTCCCGGTAGAGCTCGCCCGCCTTGCACAGAGCCGGATAGACTCTGTCATAGCCGCCTTGGCAGTTGAGGCTCTTCACCCTATAAATGGCATGCTCGGGCATGAAATTGCTGGCGTAGTTACAGGTCATTAGGAAGTTATCCACAGGTCCCTTGCTGAATCTGATGGCCGCGCAACCCACGTGTGTGTTGTTGTCGCGCGCCATCACCGCAAAGTTACGCACGGGGCTGTCGAGAGGGGAGAGAGGGGGCGGATAGAGAAAGAAATTTCCGTGGAATTGCATTTACGCACTCGCTAAGCTTGGATTCCTTGGGAAAGTAGTCCACTCGCTGCTGTGTGATGTTCTTGTACTGATCCCACCAGCTATCGATGGTTGAGTTGACCAGCTGCTCATTGCTGATATCGGTTCTGTTGATGACAGCCAGGGCCACGTTTTGGCCGGAATTGCGGAACTCCAGAGTGTTGTGGCACGCATCGTAGTGCTTCGCACACTGCTTAACATTCAACGTTGCTAGCAGCTCCAGTTCCTCGTTCCACTGCATCGTGGCCATTTTCTCGGGACCTCTCAGGCCCTCCAGCTTGCCGGAGGCTAGCAAATTGCGTGCCTGGTTGTGCTGGTTGAGAATGATGGCCTGGTACTCGGTAATATTCAGAAGCTTGGCTGTCGGTGGACAGGTCTTGGACAGCTCCTGATGGAATGGACGTGAGATCAGCTAGTGGGGCCGTGAGGCCACTGAGGCAATACTTACGCCATTGTTCTTGCAGCCAATATGCCGCCTCAGAGAGGGGCACAGGCCTGGCTGGCAGTAGTTCTTAGCTGCATCCTGGCAGTCCACCTGCTGCAGAATCACCAGTGAGACTATGGCCAACAGATGCTTGGTGTAATGCGGCATGTTACTTGGCTTGTGCTGAGTGCTCGATGTGGGACTGCGGCTTTTATAGTTGATTTTGGCCACTTAGCCAGCTCAAGCGCTGGTGCCTCCACAACTGTTTTTGGCCAGAACAACTGTTGCTAATCAGTTTACTACGGCTTACTCATGCCAATGCGGCTTGGCTAATTATTCAGCACACAGCAGACACCTACACACACACAGACACAACACTCGCACACTCAAACTGCATTGGTTCAAATGTCATGCAAATAAATCCAACTTCTGTTCAGGAGCTATCAATGCCAAAGGCATCCAAAGTGCCTCAGTGAACAGCTTGCCGCCTCGACTTGCCACACTTGACACTTACGGAAAAAAAGAGACAAAGAAGTAGAAAAACTACAGAATAACAGCAGAGTGGAAAGGGTAAAGATAGATGAGTGCTGAAATGTCAACACAAAATTTCTTTTCATGCTGCAATTTAAGCCGTAAACAGAACACAGAATGTTTTCTGAATCTCTGCTGCAATTCATGAAAAGACAAAAAGCAAAACGAAGCAAAAAGAAAATGATAGAAAAACGCAATGGTCGAAAGAGAAATGGAAACACCGCCCTGCCAGGCCTTGCCCTTGCCGCTCGCTTTCTACCTCAATTGAAATAGTTTTTCCTGTCGCCAAGCGCCGGACGGACATTCTTCTCCTGCACTTTTTCACTTTCATTAAATGGCACCAAGCTTTTTCAAGTTGGCCGACATACAGCAAAAAAAGAAGAATTACGCCAACTTATCCAACGAGCCAGTTGCAATTGATAAAAAATTTTACATTCAATAGCTTTTTTATTCACATTTTATTTGTTAAATTTACCATTATATAATATTGAATATCACTTTCGTTTTCATTTTTTATTTTATTTTTTTGTGCTTTAATAATGAGTAATATAAAAAGTCATTTTGAGTTGATACAATAAATTTATACCTCATTTGCACTTTACAATTCTTTAAAGTAGAGAAATTTAAAGAATGGTTTCCAATAAATAATTTGATTAAATTTTACAAAATTATATTAATAATTTGTCAAAATAACAATTTCAATTTAGGCTAGAATTATTACATTGTAAATAACTTTTGTAGTTAATTGATATATATGTAATGGAATTTTTAAGGAGAGTATGCTCCCTAGCAATGGAAAAGTCTGAGCTTTATAACCTCAGCAATAGACGCACTCTATTTCAGGGATGAAAATATTCAGAAGAATAGAAGTCAATACTAAACTAATTACCATCTATCATCATCGTATTCAATCTAAATATTAATACTATAAAATATATGTATCATTAATTAATCGTTGAACCAATTGTCAGCTGATGCGTTATGGCTAATTTTTCGAGGTGAACTTAATGATTCACACAAGATTATTGATTTCAATTGGACAGAATCATCTTCAGCGCCGATGCTCATTCGGCTCAGTGGGTTCATAAACAAACACACATTTTCGTGTTGGTCGGACGACAACCTCTACGTGTTGCATTCGGATAATATATTCCGCGCATTGGAGACAACATTCTCTTCTCTTCTCTTCTTCTTTTTTGTACCAATGAAAAGCGCCTTCTTAATGTCAATTGACGTCGAAAATTAAGTTCAATGTCCGGACTTCTGCAAGCGAGCCCGCGAAGGTCATGCCATAGAAATTGAGGCCCATTCATGGCGTGATCAAATGTCCTTTGATGTGAATAAATAAAAAAAAAAACGCTTCAAATGGCATTTTATTAAATTCCTAATAACATATGAAAAAAAAATATGTGTATATTTATTTGGAATATATATACAATTTAAACAAAAAAAAAAATCTCCAATAAAGAGACAACTTTTAAAAGTATCCGTCTATAGAAAAAAAAAATAATTTAGTCAAAGAGCATGCAACTGTGCTGTTTATATCAAAGAAAAAATCAACATGAATTGTGTGCAAATTAATTTACAACTGTAAACAAGATCTGAAGACGTTGAGCTAGCCATTTAATTTGTTACCAAGCGAGCGAGGGAAATCAACAAAAGAGCAGAAGCAAGAGCAGCAAAGTAAGTCACAACAATGAACAATTTTCGCAGATTATTTTTTTATGAGTGCAATAAAACGCGGAGCTGACAAAAAGTATAATAAATAAATTAAATAAAAGCCTGTAGTTTYCCTAGTCTAATAACGGAAGCTATTATTATTATTTTTTGCTGACGCCAATTAAATTTGAAGCTTTATGGTCGTGCAGCAAATAAAATAAAATGAAAGAACAGGTAAAAAGAAGGAAGCCGAGTGCACCTGGCTGTAGCCGACTGCACTCTACACTGTTCGCGATTCTTAAGCAGAATTCAGCTCGGTATTGAGGATGTTTCAGAGAGAAACTGAAATTCTGATTCGTTGTACGGGCAATATCGTAGCTGACCAAATCTGCTTTAAGATCATCAGATGGAAATTAAATCAGAGTTGTGAAAACTTCTCACTTGGGGATAGATAATGCAATTTTCCCTGGAAACTTTTGTGCACGTTAAAGCAGAACGAAAGGGAGACAAGAAAAGCTTCGCCTTACACTCGCTTTTCGCTTAATTGGATTTGCTCTGGCACCCATTCCTGGCTAATAATTGCAGTTTGTAATTATTTTTACAGGGATTAAACGCTGCAGCAGACAGCAGCTTAAATGTATCCCGTGAACTAAAACTCTGCTGCTCTCTGGTCTCTTCTCTTAGTCCGCTTTTACTACTCTTGAGTCTCCTTCGAATGTCAATTCTCATTTAAAGCATTGTTCGCATGCTTAAATTGTGAAATAAACAGACATTTCTTCTGCATGCTCCTAGGTCTGACAACATTCGCATTCGCCTATATCCATATATGTGTGTATGTGTGTGCACACACTGGTGAACTTTTACACTTGGGGTTAAAATCAATTTCATTTAATTTCCTCAAAAATCAGCAACGCGTTGCCAGTAACGTCCTTCGACTTTGGTTTTCTTTTGATTGGCGGCAATTGGCACCATGCTTAGCATACGCACACTTATGCATATCATATATATATATATGTATGTACATCTATATGTTTGTTTGTGCGTGAGAGTGTGTGTGTGTGCCAAAGCGGAAATTGAAATTCTCACACATTCAGCTACACACACACACACATACGCAGACACATGCTGCAGTAGAGTTTTGAATTTGTTGAATCCTTGCCTCACTCCCATTTTTAGACTGTGCGCTTCCATTGCTTCCATTGCCATATGCAGCATTTATTTGCATATTTAAGGGTAAAATTTAAATGTTATGCATGTAAGAGGCAGTCAGGCGTAAATACTGTGTACGGGAGTGACAAAGTACGAATGAATGTGTGCGTGTGAGAGAGAATCACATTTGGTTGTCAATAAAACAATGACAATGTCGCAATCGTGAATGGCGTTTCTTCAGCTTCACGCGCCATACGCTTCGCTCCTGTCACTTCAAATGCTCAACTCAATTCGTTTTGTCACGTCCACGTCACATCGAAGAGTCAAGCAGCTGGGAAGCTGCCTGACTTCAGTTTATGTCACGCATTATTAACACACGCCTCGTAGCCCCGTTGACAGAGCTGCAGCAGCCAACCGCAAGACCAGAGACATGTGCAACGCGGCGTATGCGCAATGCCGAATGCCAGTCGAACCCAACTCAGCAGTGCCTCTGACTGGCAGTCAGTGGCTGCCAAGACTTTGGTTACAAGTGCCACTGCCAGTGCCAGTGCCACTGCGACTGCGACTGCGGCTTCAACTGCGGGGCCGTGAGCTGATTGCAAATCGTATTGCAATCCCAATATCATCCATTCCTACTGCTTGTGGGCCGCCCACATTTATGGGCAGCGCGTGGCGCCAGCCAGTTTCCCTTATTCCCAGTGGGTAATTCAGTTCGGCCAGCAAGACAGCAACACATGTGTATGTATGTATGTATGTGTGAATATATATGTATATTGCATGTATGCTATATTGAATGAAAGGAACTTTAAATCCTAAGTATAAAATGAAATTATGAGCAACTTTTAATTACCTTATCTCAAATCAAAACTTAAATATGCATAAATATTTAAAAATTATGCACTTTAATGTTAACTATTAAGTTCATCAATGGCACAATCGATGGTGTCAACTGATCGATCGAGTTCGATGATGATAAGTCATCAGACTTAGTCTGTAGCTGAAGCTGACACATTAGTGTACTCGAGGGTTTCAAATTTAACTGCAGATCATATGAAATGAATTATTCAAAATTGAAAATATTTTAAAATACGTGTGTCTAAAGGGTTTTACAAAATCAAAGCAATCAGTATTTAGTTAACATAAGTTATAGGTAATAGCTGTATTATTATTCTAAATTTATTTATCTTTTCTCATTCCTTAAAAGCGAATTGATGGTCTATCTATACTCAATAGTTATGTTAAATCAATGAATGAAGCCATTGATAGTATCGTACAATCATCGTTGGGAGAAACCCGTCGAAGAGAACAACCATCGATGATTTTTCAGCTCTCCTACGTGACTCAATTTATAGAGCATTGAGTGTTCGGTATACTGGGGGCAAATGTGGATTCTTGTTTTGTTGTTTACATTTTTAACTCTGCCAAGGCTGAGATTTGTTTGCCGTTGTGCGACGCTGAGGAGCTGGGAACAAAATATTGTGCTCGCCGTTCCTTTTACCTTATTTATTTCGCATTGTCGTCCGCCTGCGCTTATGCAATGCTTTTTGGCACGTTCAGCAATGCTTGAAGCGCGCAGTGAATGCTCATGTGTGTGGGTGTGTGTGTGTGCGTGTGTGTGAGCTATGCAGCACTTGCACTAATGAAAACTCTTGTGGCTGTGGCAACGTGAATGCTGAAAATGGCATTTAACAGCTCAAAGGCACGCAGCAGCAGTGGCCAAGGGGCTGCAGATAAAACCAAGACCAAGTCCAAATAGAAGAGAAATTGTCTGAATCAAATGCTTAGAAATCTTCACATGTACTTATACACACATACAGCTGGTTCTTCTTGACTGACCAACTGGCCGACTGA